CAAATCCCACGCAATACTTATTATTGATTAGTTTACAGTGCTGATGGTGAGACTCTCACCTTGCCCATGTGTGAGGGTTGTATAAAATGTTATTTGTATTTAAATATGATACACCTGACTGTTTTTTTACTTCTCAGTAATGATACAAGGTACACCTCAGTTTTTAGGCAATGGTTACATTCAGTGATTGCTAGCACTTTAAATATCACTGGTAATAACATATAAAGCAGAATGTTTATGCTGTTTGATCTCTCTGCATGTTTTATCTATCTTGCAGATAATGGCATTGAAGATAATCCTTTTCAACCCTGAAAAAAATTAGGAAAAGTATGATACCTATCTTTTCACCGAAACACTTTGGTCCTTTGGAATAACTATTCAAATTGCAATTATATTTTGTTCAATAAGAGTAATAGCAATCCTTGAAATGCAGTAACTGATACCAACCAATCAGAATTTACACTTGGTTGCTGTGGGTTAATTCAATGCACATTATTATTGTTTGTTACACTGCCTTATAAAACAGTCCTAAGTTAAATTTCGCCACTTGATACTTTTCATTAGCAAGAGCAAGTTGGTGCCTTAAAACAGCTTGTTGTTCTTACATGCCACCACTCTTGCCACAAATCCAAAAAAAAACAAAACAAAAACATTACTGTTCTTATTTTCTTGCCCTCCAGAGGATTTACCCCCCTTCCTGATCAGGCCATTTTTTGCGCTATGGCGCTGCGTTACTTTAACTGATAACATGCAAACGCTGCACCCAAATAAAATTTACATTCTTTTTTCCCCACAAATAGAGCTTTATTTCTGTGGCATTTGATTGCCTGTTCACTTTTAATTTTTTTGTGCTATAAATTAAAAAAAGACTGACAATTTTGAGAAAAAAACAATATTTTTGACTTTTGCTATTAAACATGTCCAGTAAATATTTTTTAAAAAATCAAATTTTGTTATAAATTTAGGCCAAAATGTATTCTGCTCCATGTCTTTGCTAAAAAAAAATAATCCCAAAATGCCAATGCATGTAAATTAATTGGTCTACGGGAAAGTTATAGCGTCTACACATGGCAGTATATATACACTGGAATTTTAATTTTTTTTACTAGTAATAGCGGGACTGTGGAGGGCATTCTGACAATGGGGGGAAATGACCTCCCCAGTGACACCAATACAGTGCTAACAAAAAGCACTGTACTAATGGCACTGGGCAAGAAGGGGTAAACATCTGGGGCGATCAAAGAGTTAACTGTGTGCTGTTTCACTGTGGGGGCTGTGTGTGTAATTCACTGTAAGGACACTGCTTTTTATGGTTCTGCAGAGCCATACAAAGCAGTGTGCATGGGCTTACAAGGGAGAGATCTGTATTGTTTACATACAAGTCTCTTCCCCGTTGGAGATACTCATTGATCACCGAGTGCCGGCGAGTAATCACCGGATCCGCAAATGGCGGCGCGGGTAGGGCTTGAGTGCGCCCCCTACCTGGAACTGCAAAATCACATATATATATATATATACATGATTTTGCGCACCCGTGCCGCCCTGTAGCAGTATTTCTGCTCTAGGGCAGCGAGGAACTGGTTAATATAGTTTTTTGTAATATATATTTTAGATAAACATGACAAAGAGCTCTGCCTGATACAAGCAGAATGCAGTACTGTACAGTTCTTGTGCCTTAATGTTCCTCTTTCCTAATACAAGTCTACCAGTTAAGACTGACTAAATAACCACTGGAGTCCCCAGAGCCATTTTATTGTCGCACTCCCAGCATTGTTTTAATACATTCCTTGGTTTCTGTGGCTTTTGGGAGCCCTGGAACCTCCGGCTCCCAGAGACAGCTGAGGTCTAGCACTAAGCCCAGGCGCTCAAATGATCAACTCCTGGGCTTCTGATGTTTAGACAGATCGCTCTTGTGCTTATATTTGCTGAATATGCAAATAGAAATCTAATGCTTCTTCATGGTGGCAGGGAGTTTTCAGTGCCTCTCTGCAGCAACAGATCACTGCTAAAATGATCCATTGCTGGCTGATTTCATTAGAGAGACATCCCAAAAAAATTTTCATGTTGCACCAATCAAATTGGATGATCGGGATGACATTTGCGTTCAATACACAAGCATCAATTGTTCAAATAAGCAAATGCAACATCATCCAAATTTTTTGGGAATTGCACACCTGTGAAAATGTCGGCGTCATGCTAACTTGTGCCCTGGTCACTCGGCTCTTAATGTTAAAGTGCCATTAAACCCACATCATTAAAAACTATCAATAAATGCTGTATTACATGCTGTTCATACTCACACAGTCACTATGGGATTTATTTTCTGCATTCTGCAAAAAACCTGGTTGATCCTGCTGTTCTCTGTCTCCCCTTATGTCCCCACTGCAGTTGGGGATTTTGCAGAGGAGTGTTGGCAGCTACTGCACATGCTCAGTTTTCAGTGTATTTCTACCCTGAGCATTTATTCTCATCACATCAGAGCAGCCCATGTGATTATAAAGCCACACATGTGGGCATATACACAGTGGTAAATTACAGCTCCCTCCCATTTCCTCCATACCCACTAACAAGATAAACACAATAGGGGTGGGATATTACATCTTGATTGATGGGAGGAATTACCTCCCTCTTACTCTAAGATACAGGCTGATGGGGCATGACACAGCCTGTGACTGGCAAAAATATACTCACACCATGTTGATGTCAAAAAAATATTTAAATTTGATTCAATAAATATATATATATATTTGTATGACAATTTAAAACAGTTTATTCATACTAATTATTTATTTTTACTCTGTATCCCAAAAGCAGTTTTATTTTGTGAAGAAATGGTTAAACTTGACAATCAGCATTCAGAAATGGGCACTGCCACTCTAGGTGTGATCCCATAGACCTTTCACAGCCAGGACTGGAAAGAAATGGTGGTGCAGCCCTCCTCAGACCGGGGAAATTCAACACTGCACGAAAATAAAGAGGGTGCAAACACCTTAAAACAATTTATTGAGAAATAAGAGACAAGGGTTATATACTCACAAACCAAGTGAGCTATTGGCATGTAATTGCATAAACTCACAATGTGGACTGCTCTCCACTTCCAACTGCAGACAAGATGGTGTTAGCCTCTAACGCATTTTGTGGACCCTGTCCCCTTCCTGAGAGCAAAGACTGATGTCCTTCAGAACTCAAACTCCTTAAATAAGAGAGCTGTGGGATCCACACGATATTTAAGGAGTTTGAGTTCTGGGGGACTTTAGCCTTTGCTCTGAGAAAGGGGACAGGGTCCCTGAAACACGTCAGGGGCTAATACCATCTTGTGTCCAGTTGAAGGTGGAGAGCGGTCCACATTGTGTGCTTATGCAAATACATGACAATAGCTCACTTGGTTTGTGAGTATAACCTTTATCTGACATTTCTGAATAAATTGTTTTAAGTTAATGCGCCAGGTGTTTGCGCCCTCTTTGCTTTCATGTTTTTGTGCTGTTTTTTTCTTATTTTGAACATGTGACCAGTAGCAGAGGACTAGAAGCTCCTCTTTCCACTGCTTTCCTGCAGACTGGCAGGCTATATATTGATTAGGAAAAAAAGGTACATAGATGTTTGTTTGTTTTTAATAAAATAATTACAGTGCCATCATTCACATACAGAAAGAGAAGGGATAATGTAAATTAAGCAGTGTGTGTTTAGTATGACTTTAAGCTAACAATTTATGCAAACCGTTTTCTTCCACTGCATGTGTTGCAATATAGCATTGAATGGGGAATGAAGCTTTCTTAAATTACAATGCTTAGGGGCAAAAAACTCACTACCCTACAGATGCCCACAAGCCAAAGAGGGCCTGGCCCTACCTAACCAACTATGTTACTTTATACAGTAGCTTCATTCTCAATATTAGGTGGTGGCTCACCTTGCCTGCAGACATTCCTGTGGTGAAATTGGAGGTAGCTATACTCAGTTCCCCTCTGGACCTAAAAGCCTTGGTGTCAAAGGGCCCCACTCCTCCTTCAAACTCACAATACCTATGAGACAACCTTGCAAGTATGGAAGACCGCAACTGTGTTGTCCCATTCTCCCAACTCCTGGTCCCCCCCTCACCCCTCTGCAAGACAACCTCTAAAATTAGAAAAAAATAAAATAAATTATTAAAAAAACCCTAAAATATTAATTAAAAAAAACATTCTGTGTCTCAAGGGTTTTAGGGAGAAAATACAATGATTGTACGTAATACAATGATGTAAAAATGACTTAAGGTAACCTTTAGTGATACCTCAAATATGTTCTAAAGAACAATATACCTGTGAACAGTAAATATCTTGTTTTCTGGATTTGTGGTGAATGTGATGGGATATTTAAAACTTTCTGTTTTAAGACTGCAGTGCTATATAATATAATCATTCAGATTATAGTGACAAGGCCAACATTAAAAAAATTCCTTTTTTTGGCCCACCATAAACACTTATACAGTATTTCCTGTAAAACAAGCACCAAATTATGTACCCAATATTACTTCAAAGACTTGCATACACTGTATCATAAAAACACATTATAAAGTTGTCAGGGAATATTTACATTATAGCAAATTAAAAGAGACAGTCTTTTATAAAACCACAATTGCTCTACAGAACACTGGCTTCAACTTAAAAAGTACAGAGGTGATGTTGTGGAAAAATTTAAATTAAACTCAAGGCTGCATCCATGGTTATGAAAAGAACCTACTAATGTGGCATATTGTTCCTTTTCTGTCTGCCTAGTTCCTATTCACTCAGTCTCTTGTTAGAACATTTGCAGCAGATGCCAACATTGGATCTGAGCAGCACATGGTCAGGCACCAAAAATACTGCAAGCTTCAGAGCAGCAGCAGGTTAACAACCCAAATAATCAGTTTGCTCTTAATTTTGGTAAACAGCAACCGTAATTCCACTAAATTAAAAAAAAAACAAAAACTAACAATCCACTCTGATCAGAGCAAACTTTTCATCCTGTTGGATAAAAGGGCCATGTTATTGAGCATTGCTGGTTAAACTACTAGATGAGCCACTCAATCCATTTTCAGTCTTCTGAAGAGTCCTGACGGCACTTGGAACCTGTAATCCTGTGTACAATGTGATCCCACCACACCATGCCTGGAAATAAAGTAAAAAACATAGAAGAACTCAGTGATAATGATTGGATGTTCACCAGAAGAACTCAGCGATAATGATTGGATGTTCACCAGACACAACAAGTGCAATATGCAAAGCAGATCTCTAAAGTCCTAAAGTATGTCTAAACCCAAAAACAAAAATGTAATACACTGCAGCTTACCAGTCCTCTGCTGTGATGGCTATAACTAAATGGTATACAGTATTTAAAGTGGAAGTTCAGTCAAAAGTTAACTAAGGCTAAACCTACTCCCACCCTCATTCTAAGCCTGTTCTATCCATGTAAAGAAAAGATCTGTATACTTAACTATTCTGAAGTCATTCTGGTCTGGTTCCATGATAAGCTGTAAGTGGCAGCTTCAATGTAGAGAAGGGACAGCCGATACCAGATGCCCCATAGAAAGCCTATGGGTGACATCACCCCCCCAGGCATTTTTAATCATTAACGGCAATCTCGCCTCTACACAGAAGGCGCAACTGGAGAGATAATGTGACCAGACTGGAGCGGCTTCAGAATAGGCAAGTATACAGATTTTTTCTTTACAGGGTTAGATATAGGCTTACAATAGGGGTGGAAGTAGATTTAGCCTTAGGTAGATTTTGTTTGAACTTCCACTGTAAAAGACCAAAAGGATCAATTATGAGATGTTTTTTGTTAGGATTTACAGACACTTTAAAAATTACATTAGAAAATCGTTTTTTAGTGACCACTGACTCACCTTTCAAAAATAGATTGATAGGTGCTGACCTGTAGCTTAATTCTAATGGTCAAAAAGCAAAAAGACTTAAAATGACACGAAACAATATCTTTATTTTCCAAAAATAACTTCTACACAACCACTACCTAATGGCCCTGTAATCTATTTTTTCATGAAATCGTTTTCTACTATGTTGTTCTACCTTCTTGTACTGTCCTTTTTTGAGCTCCTAAACATCTTGTTTTCCCCTCAATTCCATTTGTTTAACCACGTGCCCTCCAGAGGATTTACCCCCCTTCCTGACCAGGCCATTTTTTGCGATACGGCGCCGAGTTATTTTAACTGACAATTGCGCAGTCACGCTGTACATAAATGACATTTTTGTCCTTTTTTACCCACACATAGAGCTTTCTTTCAGTGGTGTTTGATCACCTCTGCAGTTTATATTTTTGCGCTATAAACAAAAAAAAGCCGGACAATTTTGAAAAAAAAAACCCCCAATATTTGACATTTTTCTATAAAAAATATCCAATAAAAAAATAAATATTTCTTCATAAATTTAGGCCAAAACATATTCTGCTACATGTCTTTGCTAAAAGAAAAATCCCATTCATTGTATATTAATTGGTTTACATAACAGGTATATCGTCTACAAATGGTGGTATATATACTGGGATTTTTCTTTTTTTTTTATACTAGTAATGGTGGCGATCAGCGACTTATAGCAGGACTGTGGTGGGCATTCTGACACTGGTTGGAAACTGACTAACTACCACTGACATCCCCAGTGACACTAATACAGTGATCAGTGCTAATAAAAAGCACTGACACTGTACTAATGACACTGGGCAGGAAGGGGTTAACATCTGGGGCAATCAAAGGGTTAACTGTGTGCTGTGTGTCTTTTACTTTGTGTGCTGTTTTACTTGGGAGACATGCTGCTTTGTATCTCTCTGCCGTGCAGATTTGCTGCTTTACCTATCATCGAGTGATTGGCATCCCCAGCCGCCAATAGCAGCGCGGGTAGGGTGGCTGGCGCCCCCTACCTGAAAATGCAAACCATGTATATATATATGTGATTTTGCGCAGCCGTACGGCCCTGTAGCAGTACTTCTGTGTTTTAAAAGTGGTTAAAAGGAGCTGTGCATGTTAGCTGTGGTGATGTGCACTACTCTATGCACACTACAAATCCCATAGCCCAAAGTCCCTGGTTCATCTCAGGAACAAGAAAGAGGGTGGCTACGTTCCTATACACAGTGAGACCATAGAGAATGAACGTAACCACTGTCTAGCAAGAAGTTAGAAAGCAGCAGAAAAAACAATTGAATTTGGATTTCTGGAGGAGGATAAGAGCAATTGAAGATACTTCAACACAATATATATTTGAACGTTTTTTTTTTTCTGTAAACCAGAGTTAAGTGTCACTTTAATAAACTAAGCCAAAAAATAGTTCCTTTATGGGTCAAGGGCAGTTTGAAACACCATCACTTTTACTAAACAAAATACCAAAACATACAAAATTAATCAAGTATTTCCCTACCCCAGTGGTGGGCAACCTTTTTTTTCAACTGAGCCAAATCTCGCCAAAACCACGATTGAAATTTATTTTGAGAGCCACATTTTTAAAACTGAAAATACATCCCCCATATAGTAATTCATCCCCCATAGTAATTCATCCCCCCTATAGTAATTCATCCCCCATAGTAATTCATCCCCCATAGTAATTCATCCCCCATATAGTAATTCATCCCCCATATAGTAATTCATCCCCCATAGTAATTCATCCCCCATATAGTAATTCATCCCCCATAGTAATTCATCCCCCCATATATTCATCCCCCATATAGTAATTCATCCCCCCTATAGTAATTCATCCCCCATAGTAATTCATCCCCCATATAGTAATTCATCCCCCATAGTAATTCATCCCCCATATAGTAATTCATCCCCCATATAGTAATTCATCCCCCCTATAGTAATTCATCCCCCCTATAGTAATTCATCCCCCATATAGTAATTCATCCCCCATATAGTAATTCATCCCCCATAGTAATTCATCCCCCCTATAGTAATTCATCCCCCCTATAGTAATTCATTCCCCATATTGTGTCAATTCACTTACCTTTGCTCCGCGCGTTCTTCTTGCCGTGTTCCCGCACCGTTCTGGTCTTCAGGGCGGACTGTGAGAGGAGAGGAGTTCGTCACGCTGCCCCGCCTACATCCTGGCTGCCCCGCCTACATCCTGACAGCTGCAGAGTCCTGACTTTTAGGGCGGCCGCCCGAGAGGAGGGAGGGCGGCGGCCCCCCGAGAGGAGGGAGGGTAGCGGGCGCCCGGCACACAGAAGAGCCGCATTTAAGTTTGTAAAGAGCCGCATGTGGCTCGCGAGCCGCGGCTTGCCGACCACTGCCCTACCCCATTAAAAATTACAACGCTTGAATAAAATACTTTTACTGGTGGTCCAGTTGGTATCGTCACACAGTATCCATGGCAATAATTGATAGCTTTGTTACTGGTTCCTACTATTATGAAGTAGGGGTATGAGCAAAGTCTTGACCACCAATAAGAGTATCTTATGACAATGTTGTAATTTTAAATAGGTTTTTAAATTTGATTTTGTATGTTTTATATTTTGTTTCATTAAAATGATGGTTGTTCAAACCACATTTGACCCATACCGTAACCCTTGTTTTTGGATTAGTCTATTAAGCCTTTTTGATTATTTACATAAACTTTTTTTAAACTTATTTTTTATTGAAAAAGAACTGAGAAGCATACATGTCATACAAAGGAAAACCACACACACACACATATATATATGGTATAAGACAGTGGTCGGCAAGCCGCGGCTCGCGAGCCACATGCGGCTCTTTACACGCTTTAATGCGGCTCTTGTGTGCCGGGCGCCCGCTCCCCTCCCTCCTCTCGGGCGGCAGGGACTCTGCAGCGTGATCCAAAAAAAAAACAGCCAGGGCAGCACGCTCAAATGCAATGATTGGCCAGTCTCGCTGCCACTCACATCCTGATAGCCAGTGATTGGCTGTCAGGATGTGTGTAGGCGGGGCAGCGTGACGAACGTGAGAGGAGCTAGGCTCCTCTCACAGTCCGCCCTGAAGACCGGAACGGCGCGGGAACACGGCGAGAGGAACACGCGGAGCAAAGGTAAGTGAATTGACACAGGGGGGACTTGGCTTACTACTTGCTACTTACTTACTACTACTATATGAGGGATGAATTAATATGGGGGATGAATTACTATAGGGGAGATAAATTACTATATGGGGGATGAATTACTATATGGGGGATGAATTACTATAAAAACTTATTGAAACTAAAAACAGTGTACCATCCTATGTATTTTCAGTTTTAAAAATGTGGCTCTCAAAATAAATTTCAATCGTGGTTTTGGCGAGATTTGACTCAGTTGAAAAAAAAGGTTGCCCACCACTGGTATAAGACATCTCAAAGGTCAGAATATTGTCCAACAACAAGGGATAGACAGGAAATGGGTACATGAGAGGCCAGAAGCCTAATCAAATATCCAACACCATAACAACATCATCTAAATTGCTCACTGTACCCCTGGAACCATAGGGGCATCGCTATAGTGGTCGCCACCAAATTTATTTCACAAAACCCTGGCCTCATTTTCCAAAAAAGGGGATTAAAGGTAAGCCCAAAAAACAGAAGCAGGACCATGAGAGGTGTCAAAAGCAGGATCAGAGATTAAGTGTAGGAAAGAGTCACTCATATCCTGCTTGTCTAGCCAAGGTCCCCAAATTTTGGTAAATTTGGCTGGGCACACTCTAGCCTCATAAGTAAACTTATAAAATGGAAGATTTTGGTTTATAAGGCGATGCCATAGGCCAATATGTAATGGTTCAGACTGTATCCAATATAAAAAAAAATATTTCTAGCATAGTAAAGCAATAATCATAAGAACAGTTTAGTCTTAGAGGGAAGCTCAACATCATCAAATGCCGCCAAAAGACACCATTTAGGACCACAATATTGGGGAGCTCAAAGATTTCTGAGATGAATGCAGTGACTGCTGACCAGAAGAGTCTGACCTTATTATAAGACCAAACCATATGAAGGAAGTCTTCCTGTTCTATTTCACACTTATGACAAGTAGGATTGGTATGTTTATGCATGAAAAATTGCCTTTTAGGGGTATAATATGTTCGATGTAGATACCTCGACTGTAATACTTTATCTCTGGCAGATATAACTGTGTCAGGATACGAAGCCAACACTGTCTTCCAGTCATCGGGGGTAAGGTCAGG